AGGCGGGAGCCGGGTACGGCTCCTCTGGGCCTGAGACCCCCGAGTGTGTGTGTGCCAGGAGACCCTGCTGGAAGTTTGCTGTTCCCCAAAGTATGGCCTCCTTTTCGACCCCTAAGCTGAGAGTCCACACAAATCCTTACACCGGGATTTCTGCTTGTTATCCCTTCATACAGGGGGCACGGTATGCGGGAGCCAAAGAATACTTCACGCTCAGTTAATCCCCATCTAGCTTCTCCCTAAACTCTAAGCCAGGTTTTCTTCTGGCTCCTTTCTCCCCCGAGTCTGCTCCCTGCTCTGCCCACCTGCTGCTATCTGTATTGAGCACTCCTATCCACCTGCACTCCAGAAGCCTTCGCTACAATTAAAGGGTATCAATTTGCACATTCCAATATGTTCTAAAGCTCTGATGAAGACCTACACAAATCCGTGCCTACAGTTTCCTATTTACTAATCAAGATCTAAGCAGAAAGAAAATACTAATTTTTTACTGCCTGCTAGTGGTTGTACTGAATCTTATCCTTCATCTTCTGTGGGCTTACAGAGCATCTGCCAGCTGAGCACCTGGTGCCAGATCAATTTTTTTCCTTCCATTTATCTCTTTTCATGGCTTTTTCATGCCATTCAGTTATTTCATACTCTAGCACGTTCCTTTTATTCCCCTGTCCCCTCTTCCTTTTTAACGTTCTTCTTTTTTTCCCCCCTCATATTCGTTATTGCTTGTTAAAACTCAGCTCTCTGCTTGACATATCACTGAGGTGGTTAAAAATCAAAAATGTCCTGGCTGGCCACAGGTACCACAGTCATACAGCCTCACCAGGGCAATGTCCTCCTCTCCCTTCCTATCTTTTTTGCTCCCCCCTTGTTTCTTCTCCCCACTTCCCTGGTTCTTCTGTGTTGTCTCACTCCTCTCCATTCCCCTGGTTGCAATTAGCAAAGCCTGCAGTTTCTATTCCCTTCTCCTTCACTCTCCTCCCTTCTTCCACCCCAACCTGCCTTCATTCCCACGTAGCTACAGGTCATAAAGGCACTGCTGGCCTCATCTCTGGACCAGTTTAACCAGACCCCATGGGGAAGGAAACTGCCAGGTCAGTCCTTCCCAGACGAGCAGCCAGAGCCTCTGTGACGTGTCCCTCCTGCCACAGTAACTCACGCTCCAGATGATCCCACAAGTGTACCTGGCGTTCACAAAGTCCCATTAAATCCAGCAGCAGAGCCCGGCTCTGGCCCCTGCTGTCCCCAGAGTGCCGTATAACACCGCAGCCACCGAGCTGCAGGCTCACCGTGTGACTAACAATTACCCTGCTGCGTTTTCAGCCACTCACACAACAGGCACTGCCTGGGGACATGAGGAAGCCCCTCTCTTTGTATACTGGTTCTCAGACTTTGGGATGTCAAAGTTCCACCAGAGGTCCTGTAATTGCCACAACATGATGAACCTGTGCCCTTCAGACACTTTCAGGTTCAATCTCCTTATGGCACAGTACAACACTTTTTAATCTGACGAGCACTGGTATCTTCCTTAAAAAGATTTTCCTTGTTGATATGAAAACTCTACTTATAAAAACATTTTGTTAAGATAAAAAAATGTATCTGTCTGCTCCAAAAGGGATGGCTAGACCCACAAGCCCCTTTTCTCAATTATGCTCTCCAGCAATTTCTTTTGAATTGTAGAGACTGAGATACAATCATTTTTTCATGTAGTTCCTAGCTCCAAAGCATTCTACCCTCTTAATGCGACACTGCACACACAGTCTCTCAGCAACATATTATTCCCAGCTATACTTCAACACTTAGGCTAGTTGACATCTACAGTCTTGTACTCCCTGATGTGCCCATCCCATCTCACCACTGCACAAAAGCTACTACTTGTAAACCACGCCGGCAGCGCCAGGCTGGTGTGAGGTACAAATTGCAACCAGCATCTCCTCCCTGGAACCCTGAGGTCATGCTACTGAGCCGCCAGTGGGGTTCCTTGTGGCTGCATGTTTGACTCTAATGCCAGATGAGCAGCAAAAATAATCACAAACCTTCTTGGAAGACCCCTTCTTGTACATGAAGAGGGCAGAGTATTAAATCCACCTCTGGTAGAGCTTTATTGAGGCCTGCACAGTTTTGAGATGCTCATGCTACAAGGAACAGGCTGATGAGTGTGTTCAAGGGTAGCTGATACCGATGCAGAGTTATCCAATGCACGTGGCCATGCCATGTGTACCTGTGCTCAGAACAAGCAGCTGTTGGAGGTGTAGCAAGCCCTCAAATGTCTCAAAGCGAGGGCAGGGTGGCTCCTGGCTGCGCACTGCACTCCTTGAGCTGGGACTGGGCAGCAGCAGCTGGCAGAGGGGGCCTGGGGCCAGACTGCACCTGATCCCAGTCCCACATAGCCACGTCTGTGAGTAATGCCTTCTGTTGCTGTGCTTGGCCAGCAGACGCTGTACTGGAGAGGAGTTACGCAACCTCAGTTATTCACACTTGTATTATATCTTGGCTCTGCTGCTCTTGGGAGGCTGCAGATTCCAAAAAGTTTCCCAGAACTTGGGAGAAGCCAAATGGTACAGATGAGTGTATCAAAACCTCCTCAGCTACACAAGCTCTGGGTACACAACACCCGTTCTCTTTCCTCTCTGTCTATCTATGAAGCTATGACTGTGAACCTAACTTCATGGATCCTTATATTTAAAACACTTTATGTCTGATGTCTCTGAAGATCCTAGGAAGCTAACCGGGGTCAAGAATATCAGTGAAAAAAAGCTTCTTACAGTTCAGCTAATATTCACAAACAATGTTTTCTTTGAGCCAGCCATAGAAGTATGGGCTAACGTTCTACAGCTGCTAAGAACAAATCCCACCAAATTACAAGGGCCATTTGAGTTAGCCTTTTCCCTGTTGCCACCACATCACAGTATGTTTATGAAACACACATTTACAGAACTGAAAAAACCCCAACCAAACCCCACTCTGCACAATTCTTGAGAGAATGAGAGATACACGTGTGAGCTACTGCAAGCTACCACCACTAGTCGTAGTTCCTAAGGAAAAAAAGGTTAATCTATTTAATTAATCTATTTAACCTAGAAGAGATTTGCCCAAACATGGTCACAGCCAATCCTAAAGAAAATGGAATGTGGGGCTCACCAATTTCCATTGATAATTCTTCTTGACAAAATGTGGGTCTGATTCAAAAGATCCCACCAGAAAAGGCTTGGAAGCCCAGTTGCCAGCTGAAAGACCTAAGGAAGAAGGAAAGGATGTTACCTATTCCAGCAGAAGACCAGTGAAGGACACACAACCTGTATGCCCTTTCTGTGTATGAAGCTGGAATTTCTCCCCTCACCATGGAAGAACAATGCTTATTTCACGTCTGTGTATTTTCAGGCCTGGTTTGACCAAAAGTTGGCATACTTAGCCTAGACACGTGTTTCTGTCAGAAGTTTGTGAATCTCTAGCAGATTTTATGATCATCTATTTTTCATGTGTGCAGAAAAAGCACACATGGCTTCACTCAAGTGCACAGGCAATAGGGAGCTCTTTGCCTACATGCAGTTTTACAGATTTTATACAGCTTTCAGCTAAATCACATATCTCCATGCAAAGTATGCCACTCTTGGATATCACATGGATTTTTAATGCTCTGAGGGATCCTTTGGGTCTATAAACAACAAGTAGATTACATTCATCTACATCATGACAGACTTTCCCCCCTTCTTGCTTGTGAGACAAAATATGGCTCTTGTTCTTCCCTGGAACTAGTATGGAATCCAAGCACAACTCATGTACAGTTATGAGAAAACCCTGCCATATTTTTCATTGTAATTAACTGCTTCGGAGCAAGACTTCTCATGTATAAAGATGAAGAAAGGTCTCAGCTTTGCCTGAAAGACAAGTTGCCTTTCAGCAATGTCTCACACTTTGAGTTTTGACTGAAACATTCCACTGCTTTGGTGACCTGTTGTGCCAAAAAGCTGCCTTGTGTTACGCTTCACTTTCAGCTGAATTTGCCAGCGCATGCCAAGGGACAGAACAAAGTATTGCAATTTATACTGGAACACTATTTTGTGTTGCTCCACACATGAAATCGATGTCAGTAAAAAGTGCACAAAGGGCATGGAAAACGTAAATAAATACTGTGATCCTTTTACCTTCAGTTTTAAATAAATGGATTGAAATGCATGGATCCTAAAGATTTATGAATCCGTTTATAGTCCATTCTGGAGTTTTAACATTTCATGCAGCTTGTAGGAGGGAGTGTATTATTTATAAAAAGTCATGGTTATTCAGCAGTGTTTATTTCTGAAGAGCAACAAAATACCTTCAAGGGGAAGAAGAAATTCATAACTCTGGTTTACTACCAGGGTTAGCCACTTAAAAGTCTTTTCTCATGACTGATTTACAAAGACCTTTGCTCTTCTGAGCATGTTTGGAACACTGGACATTTTGCCACCAGCAGTAGGAATCACCTCCATCTCTCAGGACAGACAGCACTGCAATAGATTCAGAGAGGTGGTGGTGGGGGAACCTTTACTGTTGGGGAGATATTTGAACTTTACTTTTGCTGCCCTTTTCCCAGCACAGTATTGAATGGAAATTCAGAAGTAGGGCCTGCAGGGAGAAAATCCACAGCAGCTATTCACAGATACCATTTCTGTGTGACACCAGTTTCTTGGCCATGTGAACAATTTCTTCCGTCTGATGAAATGTAACATCCATTTCTTGTTTTCATTTTCAGTCTTTGGGCTCCTTTGCCCAAAGCTGTTTATAAGACAAAGTGCCTGAAAGGATTATAATGTAAACATAAGTGCAGCCTTAGCATACCTTTGGTCTTTCTATCTACTTTACCTCATTGGAATTGCAGTGATTGCTTTTCTTCCTAGCAGGTAATAAATCAGTTTCAATGAAAAAGAAAAAGAACTCAGACATAAACCAGTATTTTCAAATAGTGTTTCTCAGTCAACTTTTATCTTCACCCTCTGTGAAAGTGGAGCTTGCAGAAGTTGCATTTGGCTCACCTCAACTGACCACACTGTATCCTTCTAGCTATGAAAAATTCCTCAAGCCACCAAGGGAAGTTCATAGTTTAACTGAACAAACCCCAGTCTGACCTGTCCCTCCTGTCTCTGCTTGGCAGTGCTGTCTACAGAAACACCTGAACTGTGTCTATGTGTAGAGCAGAGAGCCCAGCCACAGACAGATGCAGCACTGCTCATCATAGGAGCCATTTCTGGCTTGTCTCCAGCAGAGCCTTGAGGCCAGGTGGATGGTGCTGCTCAGGGATAAGAGGGAGACTCTCTGTGGTTAATAGCTCCTGATAGGTTTTATTTCCATGGATTTTCCATGAACCACATGAACATATGGCAGCCAGGAGGACCTGTGGTCACGAGCTTCATGAGCCGTGTGAGAAGGTAACTTTCCTAAACTCAGCACCTGCTAACATAATTTGATACTCCTACTGCATGCATTATGAAACAATAAACAATCATTTTGTATTCAGCACCTTGTGCCAGCCCTTATCTGTAAACCCTGTTCTGTGTCTTCTGATATATTGCTAAATCATTCTAACAGATAACATTCTGCCCATGCTTTCCTTTGAGCAGGGATGGAGATCTGGCACCTGTGTCCCTGCTCATGAGAGGCATCAATGGGCAGTGTCTGACCACTGCATGCACTGCCAGCAGGAGTGTCCCTCCCACAGTCCTGAGTGTCCCTGCTGCTCTGAGCACATGGCATGGGTACAGTGTGTTCCCAAAGACACTGTTACCTGTTAAACACAAGGCTCTGGGAACTAAAGGGCACCTGTCCACCCCAGGAAAATATTGGGATAAGTTAACTGCTCATGGTATCCTGCCAAAGTGGTGACCAGAGTGGTGGTGTGGTCCTGTGCACTAGCTGGTGAGAGCCTGGTGGACAGCCTTCAGCTGGCCTGTCTCAGCTCAGAGAGTGAAGGGTCATGGCAGCATTGCCAGCTCTCCCTGGGAATGGAGCATCAATGAAAATTAGGTAAAACAGAAAAAACACTAAGGCTCTTGAAGGATTTGCATAAAAAGGATTTGCAGCTGGATCAGAAGTCAAAATCCTTGGAAATTTTTGCATACACACACACTCATACCTGCACACATGCATGAAACATAATGCTTTAGATATTATGAAATCAGATTCCACATCTGAGAAGGGAGAGGCCTGGAAGACCTACGGTTTTGTAAAACATCATTTGGCACTTTCCATCTCAGGATCTGAAAGGGATGTTTTGGCAATGCTGACATTGTACACAGCAGGCTCCAACAGCAAGCACAGGAAAATTAATATTGCTTCCCATTTAATGTATGGCACCAATACTTAGGAGGAGTTTCTTAGCAAGCCACACTAATCTCCTAACTGATTTGCAAGCTATCACACATGCATTTAACTTTACCTTAAATGAAACAAAACAGCAATACAGTGAAGTATTGTTGAAACCTGAAAACAGTTCACTCCACATAATTAAATTTTAATTCAAAATGTCATTGCTTATGTATGATAGAAACATTTTTTATGATCAGTCAGACAATTTCTACATAATAGTTACCTTTATTTGAAGGCATATTGACTCAAAACAGTAAAAAATGCAAATGAAGATTCTTCACTAGCTAAAATGATGTCAAATTATATATACAAATAGTAACATAAAAGAAAAAAAAAAGATTTGTCAAGTACATCAAGTAAAGCTCTGGAATAATACAGAACTCCTTGCTGCCTTAATCATAAAGTTTAATAGCTCCCATTTAAAGAAAGAGGAATTTAAGGCAGAGTGCAGTCCCAAATACCACTCCCATCTACTCTGAAAATGGTGGCAGAGTAATTTTTCATGGGTCTGTGATACATGAACAGAAAGCACCCTGTGTATTTGCTGCCTAACACACGAAAAGTGGATTTTGCATTTCATATTGGGACACTCAAACTGAAGGTGAGCAAGATACTTCTGCATTTGTAACATCCACAGAATTGCTCATCCCTGTCCATAACCTCTCAGCTGTGTTTTCCTCTTCTGTGATCCATGACTTGGCTGCCCCTGCCCTGTGAGGTTTCCAGGCACAGCACACACCCTGCTGTCCCACACTGCTGGGAGAAGTGAGACCCTCTGGCTCAAGCTGTGTTTATTGAGTGCCCACTCTCCTCCTGCTGCAGCCCTGCTGGAGGATCTCAATCCCAGACGGGTGAGGCTGTGAGGATAGGACTGGCAAAGGCTTTGGCTTCCTAAGGAAATGGCACATTCTGCCCAGAACACACCTCCACCATTTGTTTTTCCTTTACTTCCTAAAACTTGCCCCAGCTTTGGTGCAAGGCAATCAGCATTAAGCTTCATGCAGGAGAAATACACAGCAATTTGAGAAGTTCTCTGCAATCCCCCGCCCTGCTTTAGCCACTGCCTCACTGCAGGCAGGTCATGGAGGAGTCTGGTGCAAGAAGCACTCCGAGAGATCCCCTGCAGATGTTTTATGAGCTTAGACCGCTCTAAAATGGTTCTTGCTTCCACCATAGCAGGCAGATGTAAAGCCTGCTCTGTGCCAGCTCTGTGAGTGAGCAGGGTGTGTGGATGTGCAATATGCTGATAACAGACGAGGTGCCAGTAGATGGCTCTCAAGATATGAGGCCTATGGCTCGCACAGGGCTGAGCCACCTTCGTGCCTGGGGAGCACTGCTGCTGCATGCCGGGAACAAAACAGCCACTCAGACTGCACCTGGGGACAGCACAGAACAGGGTGCCATGCCACTGTGGCACCTTCTCCCCAGACAGGCCTAAAAATAGCAAAGCTCTTAGCTTTGTTAGTTTTGATAATTCAAGGCAAAAATGCACTCCTCACTAAAGCACGCTTGAAATCTCCCTTTAATTCTTTAAATGAGATTTAAGGGCTGTTTAAATAGGCTGGGAAAAGCTGAGATAATGCTTCTGCAGGAGCCCTGGTAGTGTGTAAGCAGAGGTACTGCCAGTCCCAGGGGGGTTATGTAGTTAATAAGTCAGATTTTCTTAACTAAACAGTTGAGCTATGTCTATTTAGAGTTGATTTTCTCAAGCATACATGAACCAACACCCCTAAGGGGAGGGGGTCCAGGAGGGATGCTCACAGTTAGAAATTCTACAGAGGATTGAAATGAATTTTTAGTACTGTGTAACTACAGCACATAACATTGAATTGGGAGGAAGAGGAGAAGAGGAAGAGGAAGAGGAAGAGGAAGAGGAAGAGGAAGAGGAAGAGGAAGAGGAAGAGGAAGAGGAAGAGGAAGAGGAAGAGGAAGAGGAAGAGAAGAGCTCTCATTCTCAGTTTAGACAGCAATTGATATCTCAAGTCTAAATTCAAATGAATGAAATTAAATGAAAATTAAATGAATGAATGAAAGTCACATGAATTGAGTAAATAAAGAGATAACAAAAGCAACCAAATTCTTTTTGCCACCTAGTCATTCTTAAAACAAGGAAGAGGGTTTGTACACCACAACTTTATATAGACAACTGGTCATTTAGTGGATGTACTAGAAATTCTACTGGAAATGTTATTAAATTTTTAATTAAATTTGGGTTTATTGTTACTTTAAATGCAATTTTCCACAAAGCATGTCCTGAGGCCTTTGCCAGTCAACTGTGATACATTTTCCTGGCCAGTAACCCCAGCCTATATATCTTACACTCCTCCTCTTTCTTGGTTTCATGTCAGGGACAGCTAGAATGAGAGCTGACTAAATAATTAGCAAAGGGAATACCACCTCTGTATGTTTCTGTAGTCATCAGGTTAGTAAGAAAACAAAACTAACTTTCATAATGTCTTTCCCTTTAGGTACCTGGCACTTTCCAGGAGCAAAGTAGGGAGAAAATGTAATTGCTAAAATATCACACATTTATTATTAGACTAATGATACCTTTTTCTCTCCATCTTGTCCCATAAAGGCATCTATAGAAGAAATGCAGGCTTGAAGTGTTTCACCCCCATCAAGCAATAGTGTAAGTATGTAGAATATTAGAATATTATGTAATAAGGTAGAATAAGATAATGACATAATTCAGCATTATTAGACAGTGTGCCCAAACCATTTCCAGCCACAAGAAAAATAAGGGTGAGGGCAACGGGCTTGGAGTGGCACCAGTGAAGGTGAGGAGTCCTGAGTGAGCTGCCTTCCTTCTGTGCCCTCCAGAGGAACAACATTTCCTAATTTCCAGCTCTGCTCCCAAGTTTGTGTATGTTCATGTCGTTCCTCTTGCCTCCTCCTACTCCAATCCAATCACAGGCTACAGAGGGAATTTAGGGAAGGTAGCTGGGTAAGTTTTGTCAGGTAAATTAGGTCTGCCACCTGTTTTGCATTAAGAGTATCTAGTATTTCAGACTATTAAAAAAAAAAAAGGATAAATTTTCACTGAGAAGTTGGGCTGTGTTGAGGTAGGAACAAACTGCTTTACTTTGGTTTTCTGAACCTCAACTTTTTACAGAAGATGAGCGTCATTTATTCCATGGTACTCTCCAAAGCCTTGCATGGAACTCTGCTCTCAGGTTTGAGAAGGAACTGTTGACCTCAAACGATTTTAACGTAAGTTACGTCACTGAATTGCAGCCGTTCTGGTATTAATAGGGGTACCAGAAGCTGTGTGAGTCATGTAAAAAAAGCTTCCATTCTTATACAAGGTCATCATTTCTCTTTTCCACCTCACCCCAGATTTCTCCCATATGAGGAGCAGAGGGTGGTATTAGCATTGGAAGGAAGTTGGCTGACATTCTGATCCCACAGAAATAAATGTGAGCTAGTTATTTTAGTTAGCCAGGGTTTTTTCCCATCAGCTTTCATGACTAATATAGTTAGTCCTTGATTTACATGCTATTATCTCCCTCTGAACTTTAGAGAATCTTGTGCTCATTTCTTTTTATTACAGCACTAGAAACTATTAAAGAAAAGCTCACCTTGAAGTGTAGAAGGAAAGGTGGTAGTTCTGCAAAGGCAGGCTATCTAATGAATTCATGGCTTCCCCTACAGAACTATTCTCATACTGGTGATGGGAATTTTTCAAGATAAATTTGCTAAAATGAATTTCACTTATTATGCTTCTCCTTTTATGGACCTGTGCCCTGATTCAATCTCCCATTCTGAACATCTGGTATGCCTTAAAAAGATTCTTCCACGTGGAGCCTGGTTCCCGATTTCCTCAGCTATTATTTATTACATCGTTTGGGCTTTAGAAGGGATTGCTGAACCAGTGTGGATAATCTAAAAAATAAACTTAATCTAAAACTAATGCAAACTCTACAGCATAGGAGATTTAGAAAAGCTTACTTAGCAGTCAAGTAAAACCCTTTTATTTATCTTGGTACTTCCTGAATCCACCTCTGAACAGATATGGGACCATAAGGGAAAAAAAACCCCAAATACTTTCTGAGTGACCAGAAGGCAGAAATTCCTCACACTCTTGGAAACGATTGTCTGAACAATGTTTAGGGATCAGAGAGGTTTGAACTCCCTCACATCACCCCCATCTCAGCTGCCAGGTGGCATCAGGAAGTTTCAGCCCTTGTTTTGAGAGCAGTGTCTATTACCCACATTTAAGCCAAACCATCTTTTTCAATTTAAATTATGGCTGCCTTAACAGCCTGCTGCCTGAAATGTTCTTTGATACTGAGGCAGAACACTTTCCAACAGTGTACAGTCAAATCTGTGGGGCCTGTTAATGCTGTGTGCTGGCAAAACCCCTATTTGGGACATAGAAAGGTGATTATCACCTTCTAAGCTTTGTCCAAATAGAAAGCTAAAACAATCTGGATTGGATGTGAACACTGCGTACAAAATTCTTTAACATCTCATGTCTCCAGAGTCGAGCTTAGTGCCAATGGCTTCAGCAAATGAAGCAAAATAATCCCAGATCCAAGGCCTTCAGGAGTGAGAAAGGCAGAGCTGTTGGTAGCAGCAGTGCTGCTCTCACAGAGTTTGTTAAATGTGGTGTGGAAACGTGAGTGCTCAGGAGCTCATGAACCCAGATGGAGGATTTTAACGTGTTCTTGCAGGAACAGAGACGAGCTCTACTCAGGGCCAGGTGACGTACTAGGTGTTGTACAAGAGACCTTCTGGCACTCTTGGGGATTTTCCACACCTCAAGCAGCAAGTTTTAGCTAGAAAAGTTTTAATTTTAAGGTTTTTTCCAGAGAAGAAGGTTTCCTTTTTCATGTCAATAATACTTATTTTCAAGCACAGATTATTTGTATATAATTCTTGTCTTTTTTCTCTGGCTTAACCATTGTTAAGGGTTTGTGTTGCCATAACAGCACATTTTTCAGTGATACTGATGGGGCAAATCCAGTTCAAACACCCGTCCCAGTCATAGTCATCTGTTCTGATACACATATGACATATCTATCATTCTGAGAATGTAAAATGGCCCAGAAGATGTGGGGAGTGAGCTCTGGATGGCCTGGTCAGATCCTCTTCACTATTGTCATAAACACATCTGGGTTATTTTGCTGAATCAAAATTATCTGTTTCTTTGTTTGATCTTCAACAGCACTTTTAAACACCTTGGCACCTTGAAATATAGAGAAAACAGTTTCTTAAAAGCACCAGTACCTGTGCACTACTACCTTTCTCTCCAGTACCTAAAACCAGCACACCAGCCAGCACTTTACTGCAGAAATTTGTTCTGTGCTGGAAAGCAGCCCCGATACGGACTTAAAAGTCAATGTCTCCTTTCCTTGTTAGCAGAGCTGCCCAGGGCAGAGCTGAGCTGCCCACTACAGCTCCCCAGGCACATTTGCTGCTTACGGCTGACCCGCAGAGGTGGGGAAGCCGTGGCTGGAGCTAAGCTCAGGAGCACTTCCCAAATCTGAGTTCAAATGCATTTCTGCCTTCCTGCTGGGGGAGGAATTGAGCATGTGGCCTGTCCCTCCCTGTGCCAGCAGGCCCTGCAGCAAGCAGGGCGTGAAGGCCACCAGGGCTGGTGCTGGGGTCTGGCTGGGTGCCCAGCCCAGCAGCCAGCAAGGGAAGGTGTGAGCCTGAGGAGGAGCCACAGAGCCAAGGCTGCTCATCCAGAGAACCCCTGCCTGTGAGAGATGGTGCTCCAGAGGCAAATGCTCAACTGCATTCTGCAAATGATACCCTTGTTAAAGACCGTCAAATGGCTCAGAACTAAGGTTTCTGGAAAATGTACAAAATGAAAACAAAATTACAGCACTGCTGTAGATAGTGACAAAGCATGAAGATACATCAGCATTAAATAAATAGCCAGCTTGGGGTTCTCAATTGCAATTACCACATACTCTCTGTGTTTGCAATACCTAGGAGACCCACAGCACATTACAGAATTTTGTTAATTACTAAGTAAGTGAAGAAGGAGAGGAAAAAAACACTGTGACTAAAATGTATATTGTGTATTGATTTAGAGAACTGTAATTTAAAATTAATAATTTATCATTCCTTTTAACAGGCTATATTCTATTTTATAAAAAGTAATGAAACCTTTGGAATACAGAGGAAATCTCTTCCCACTCTGTCATTTCATCTATGCTGAGAAAGGAGAAGGAGTGGTTTGTCTTGCTCTTGCCACATTTATAAAATGTGCAGTTTGGCAAAGAGTAGATTAGCAAGATTACAGACTTCTCTTTGCTGTTACTAATCATGAAAAACAGTGGACAAAGTAGTAACTAGTGTGCGATGTTAGGAGAGTCTCCCCAGGTAATACCCTCAGGAAGCAATCACAGGGGCACTCAGAACAGTGGCAGTCACTGCCCCACCAGTTTCAGCAGTTCTGACCAGCAGAAGTTGCTTAGTTTATTGAATGCTAATGAGATCATCTTCATCTCCCTCTTGCTTGAAAAGCTAAGTCACTCAGATCAGGACTTCCACAAGAAATAGAACACTGCAAGCTATTAATGAAATCACAGTTGGTTCACATCTAACTGGAGGAACAACCGAAACAAAAGTAACTTGTCATGAGAAATTATTTAACCCTGCTGCAGCTGCAACCTTTGTTTTGAGTGTATGTGCCCATTTGGGCTAAATAATTTCCTACAACCACACTGTGAAAACTTCAGGGGGAAAAAGCTTCACAGAGAGCTTCAAACAAAGCCAAGTATTAAGTTCTTATGTGTGCTTTCTTTATAGAGGCATTAATCATTTTCAGTTATTGCTCATTTTTAGTGCAGATAGCTCGTGCTACATCCTTGCTGTTAGAGACGTGAAAAGCTTCACAGCATGCTGAGGAGGTCAGGTCCCAGCCTCCTCTCCAGTGGAAACAGGGCTTATGGGATTACATTGATTATGAGCATGCAACTCTTTTCTCCCTCATACATTATTTATTTAATTGGCTGCTTTCAACCAAACTAGAGAATCACAGATTTCTCCAAAGTAATTAAATTCCTACAAGTTTCATTGAAGCAGACAAATAGGAAAAGGACAGAGACCCTAGACATGCTCTGAACTGAGATTCTTTTTAATAGACACCAAAGAACCTCAAGAGGAGATTCGACTAATGATACCAACTACAAGTAAAAGCCATGTGAAGCTCTGACCCCTGTCAAGGGTCTTTAGAGATAAATTAGACACAAATTTAGTGCTGATGAATCTGTGCCAGCTGCCATCAGCTGCTGCATGCACCTTGCATTTGGCATGGATGCTCAATGTGTTGAAAGCGTAGTCCAAAGTTAGGACACTGTCCTAAAATCTGGAGAGACATTACTGCTCTGCCATGCATTTCTGTGTGATTATGGATTAGGATTTGTATGATGGTGCCGAAATGAGGACAATGCCTTTGGTCTCTACAAAGAAAGATGCAACAGGTAGTAAGGCACTCACACAATGTGGGGACACAAAGAAGGAACCTCAAAAACCCTGGAGAAAATTAGGAAATTACCATACAGCTTCTCCTTCTCCCACTTAATGCACAACTTGTCTTCTAGATTTTATTTTCACATATCTTGTTTCTTGTATCATTTTTTTTCTGACCAGTTACCCTCTGACACCAGTTGGTTCAAGATATGTAATCAGCCTGGGAAGAACTAGAGGAAGAGCTCACATCTTCAGAAGGAGGGCTCAGGAAGAGAATCCAAAGCATGTGAAGAGGCAGCATCCCAGGACAGCTGGGATTTTCACAGAACTGCTACTCTGCCTGCAGTTTGCTTTACATGCCCTATTGATTGCAATAATATACCCCCAGTAACTTTTCTCTTGAGATTTAATTATAGAATTAACATCCCAAATTTTCAAAATTTCAACAGGCCTCCAAACAAAACCATAGGAAGTAGGAAAAATGCATATATGAGGCAATCAGCGGTTAAGAGCCACAGACATAGGGAATTGCATCTAATCCACTAATTCCCAACAGCTGGAGAAAAGTCATTACTTGTAGGCAAGGTAAGCCCCCATGCCCTTTCAGAGCCACACTCGCTTTCATGCACTCTTTCTGCAGGGATGGGATACAACAGCAGAACAGAGGTAGCTGTTCTGATGGGGCACACACATTACAAACTTATGTCTTCATATGTATAGTGTACAGGTTTTTTTCTAATTTCCCCTCCCAATTAAGTAATTTTTCTTTAAAGCTCAGTATTTTCAATTGGTGGAAGTTCTGTTCTACTTAGTATCACTTCACTTTCTCTTCATTTTTCTGCAATTCTCAAAGCATCTCCCTTTCTGGGGAAAAAGAACCACCAAAAGCAACAACCATAAAACCAAAACTCCCAAATCTGATATGTCAAATGCTAAAGTAAGGTTACTTCTATTTATCTAGATGAAAAGAGAATCACCCATTTCATATACAGTAGGCACTCCAGGACAAAACCAGAAACTAAGTGGTTTACCTTTATGTCTAGTCCTGGTCATCTTACTGTTGTGCAGAGAATAATGAAAGACAACAAAGGCACTCTCATACTGCCAGATCACTTGACTTCTGTTTAAATGCATCCTTAAAGATACAACTACCCCAAATCTCATCCCCAAGCAGGTCAACAGAATACAGAGATGGCAAATATCTAAGTGGCTCTTAGAAGAATGTCCCTGGTGTTATCCCTGAGCAACACTGTCTATTACACTGCCAAACTAATGAGGACCAAACCAGCAAAAAATTCTGAGTGACAAAACAAAGTATATCTCCTAGCTCTGGATGGGCCACTGAATGATCATTCCTCTGCTCACAAAGTTTGGTTCCAATTACACCTCTGAATTGCTCATTCCTTGAAGACATCTGGTGTAAATTGCTTTCTGAAAAGTAGCCACAAATTTCACAAAGTTATGCAGATACAACAGCTGTTGTATATATGCTCACCCAAAAGCGAGAAGTGGCATTCTGCTTCTTCCCCATCTTGGAACATAAACTCACTTCTTTGCATCTACTGTGCAAGCAGAATGTGGGTTTTTTGTTGTTGTTGGATTTGGGTTTTTTTTTGCTTTTTTTTGTTCTATTTTGTAGGTTTTGTTCTTCCCCCCACCCCTCCCCCTTTCCTGCTGGCTCCATTCTTTCCCCATAAACCTATGCCTGCAAATTACAAATGCTGTGTTGCTAAATTCTGGCTTTATACCTAGAAAGTGCTGCAAAATCCTGGCTGAGGTTGTGCTGAGTGCTCGGCGGCTGTTTTGGTGGCAGCTGTTTTCTCTGAGTCACCTGGAAACCAGCTGTTCTTTAGCTGCCTTCTCCTTGGTTAGAGGATGCTCACTGGAGGCAATTTCTGGGATTTGTGATTCATTTGCAGGAGATTGCTGGACAGATCCTGCTTTTCCCATATGCTGGAAGGCCACCTCTGCAAACAGCTGTGCCATTTGGAAAGGTGTGACAATGCTCTTGCTTTTGAGGGTTTGATTAATCAATATAATGTGAATTTTGTTCAAAACTGTATCGGTCCAACCTAAATTTCAGTTATCAACAGGAATGTCTCTGCACACTTCACTAAGCTTTGAGTTAGATTGTGCTAAATTCAGCATCTCTGTTTTCCCAGCAGATGATGGTTGGAAACAAAATTCATGTGTGTGCAGAGAGATCAGAAAAACAAAATCTATACCACACTCAAGCAATGAATAAACTATATCTGAGTTAGGGATGTGGTTTGATTCATCTGTCATTTAGACTGGCTTGGTGTCAGTATCTCCTGACCTCAGCCAAATGATTCTGGCAGTCCCCTGAAGAACAGGGACAAAACAAAGCTCCAGTATCTTGAAATAGCATAACATGAGTTATTGTGATGGAGCTTTTAATAATATACAAGAGACATACAGTATCCATGTTTGGAGTAAAATAAGGATGGCATTTACTCTAAAATGAATGGCTGACTTGGATCCTGGCCCTACAAGAGTGAATGGCAAAAAAAATCTCCAACAAAACAACTCCACTCATATTTTTTAAACTAAAATTTTAACAGGATTCTTTTTCCTGTGAGAGATATGAAGAGGTATCTTTGCTTACATTATTTTAAGACCTTTTAATAAATCCACATGAATTGTCAGTATATTTATCTGATTTGATTTTATATGATGGGAAAAGGGGAAATAAATGTGTTTAACAGAGAAAACCAAGCAGACATCTAAAATGATGAGATTTTTCCCAGCATTTGCTGTGATCATCTGATTCTGCATCCCTCTGCCCTCACTCTTGTGTTTCTGTGCCTCTGTTCTTTCTAGATTTTATCTGACTCTGAGACTCAGCTCCTGTCTCTGGAACAGAGATAGCACACCTAGGTTACGGTAGTCTAAGTAATGAAAAATGGCCATTAGTAAGATTGCAGGAAAAGAAAATTTTGAAATGTTCTAGCTATATAGTAACTGCCACAGAGTGCTACACACAACACAAATTACGCCAAGAAATGGACAAACCTCCATGGACCTTTCCAGTTTTTCCCAGTTTCTTGGGGTGTTTATTTTTTTGTTTTCCTTTAAATTTCATCAGTCCATATAATGGAAGAGATATATGCTGTCTAAATAATACAATAAGTGTCTAAATATTTCTAGTACCAGGGGATAAGGAGACATTTTAAACACTTGATTGCAGTAAGAAGCTGAATACAGGAGCCAACACAGGTACCATTCCTCAATCCTCCTGGGTTAAGGAGAGGGACAAATACTAATACAATGAAAAGTAAGCACAACCCCTACAAAAGCTGGATCAACCCTTCTCCCAGGGCACTGCAATCAGCAATTCCTGATGAAAGATGTTAAACAGGAAAATATTTCCACATGGCTTTGTGGACAGGTCTGCCCCTTCCCTGGGCTCAGTTCCACGAGTGAGAAATGGGCTGGTGTCCTGCTGTCCCTGCCCGCCTGCCCTCCCTGGTGTGGGGCACTTCAAAACACTGCTCCTGGTAAGGAGGTGAGGCAAAGGAGGTGGGAGAGAAGGGAGAGCTTGTTCTTAAGGGAAAAGGATTCTTCCAGTGGTAGAAACCAATTGTCACAGATGGGTAGATACTCAGCTACTGCCTGCTTTCAGAATGGTTTCTGCTCTCCAACACCTCCTGTTGCTTTTTTCCTCTACATCAGCAAGGATCGACTTTCTGTAACAGGGATTTATTCTGGAGAAAAGGCAGAAGCTGAAGGCCTTGCAGAAAACATCAGAACTACTTCTGAATAAAGTGCCACTGTGACCACACTCTGATACCACACAAACACGGAACTAACACTGCTCCTGTAAAGATTGTGGGATTTGTCTTGTCTTTGTTGAACCTTAGGCTGCTGTTTCATATTCTAATAGAAATTAAAGAGCTAATTACATACAATTTAGACTACACATGAGGGACACAGGCTCAGCTTCCAGCTGAGCTGGGAAAATTTTAATTGTTTAGTTAGAAAAGCAATCTATTTGGAGACGTGCGAAACAACTTCTGATTCTAGGTTAAAAGTCATCAGAGCAATTTATGATCTTACAACTATTAATTTCTTAACTTAGATCAAGGAATAGCAACTGTAAGGAAAAGGCAGTGACTGTGTAGATTAAATCATTAGACCCACAGTCAGCAGAACTAATGTCCATTAACCCAAGTGGCAGCATTAACACCCTTCTTCCTGGCACGGACCCACGGCCTCCCCCTAATCTGCTTTTCTGGAAGAACACCTGGCTACAACAGAGTGAGACAATTCCAAGAAAAAACAACCAAACAAACTAAGCAGAAAGGCAGCATCCATCTTATTTGGCTATGGGATTTTCCACAGTGATATGGAGTCCATCAGTGATGGGCACAAGGGGAGAGTGTCCCGCCCTTCCCACCGGACTGCTCAGGACACTAAGGATCGCAAAACCACTTTATTAGGAAAGGACTGTGGGAAACTGCAGGGCAGAAGGAAGGAAAAGCACTAGTTTTCTGGCCAGCATCAATGTCACCTGCCTCTTCTCTCCTGCCTGGTCAAGTCACCCAAAAACCTGACAGACAGCTTCCAGCAGAGACTGGCTGTAGTGCCACTGGCAACCAAAGGACATTATTACACTGAAGAAAAAAAAAAAGAAGAAGCAGAGAAATCTCAAAGGCATTTTATTTTTATAATGATGAAGAAGTGTCCTCATGTTCCAGTTATGAATGTGAACACACACATTTTAGGGATCTTTTAATAATATTTACTCCTTAGCTATTCTCATTTCCCAAAAGTGCCCCTTTCTGGGTCTGCTACCATCAGTTCTGTACAGTCCACAGTCAGCAAGGAATGTCATTTAAAAACTGCTAATGTGTAGGATTTAAGCAGCATTTATGTGGCTGACAGATTCTGTCTTACTGTGCAGAAGGGATAAGTAACAAAAACCAACAATAAATTAGAAACTTGCAACAACAGTGAGATTTAACGAGAGCGCATTCACAGAGAGCTGCCGAGGGCAAATTAAACGAACCAGGATGGATTGCCATCTGTTTTGGGCAGTGGCACTTGGCAAGGACCTAGGGCCAGAAGGGACTGGTGTTATCTTTGCTGTCTAGGTCACCACACCATGCTGCCTAGGATAGGCTCAAGCCAGGGATTCAAACAAAATAGTTGCCTTCAACTTCTCCTCATGCCAGAGCAGCACAAAGCAAATACATTTTGCATAACCCTTGACAAGTTATCTGCCATATTAATCTGGTGATTTGCTCAGTTGAGTCTCCAGATTTATCTGTTCTCTTTTAATTGTGGCCATGATTCAGTCATCGCATCCATTTTTGCTGATATCACTGAAAGTGTACCTCATTTGTTCAGTAATATGCTCATTTTATTAAAAAGATAAGGAAGCAAATATAAAATGAAAGACATTAATAAACATTGGACTGACTTAGTACATCAAACCACCACATGAGTACTCATAATTTAAGAAAAATAACCACGTCAGTCACTGAATTAATAATACAACTAAAGATCTGGGCTCTATTTTCTAGGGTCTATACAAATATGTTATAAAAAAAGAAATACGCAGCCTCTGTTTTGAGGCAAAAATATTGGGTAACTCTTTCAACACCAATCACTAAGAGAGATTGCCTGATATATTGGCAGAAAATTCAAAATTTCAGGTCCAAGAACATCATAATACAGAATAAAACACTTCTCCCCTTCAACCCTTCCACAGCCCTGACTGAACTGCCACTGAGCTTCACTGCTAGGGTGAAGATCTGTTTGGTGAGAAGGGGCTGGGCAGGTCTAGAGCAATGTGCTTTTGCCACTGTGCAGAAAACTGCTGGAGGACATGAAGGTAAAGCACTCTGTGTCCCCTGTCCACCTGAATGACATGGGCTCATGCTGCATTTTAGCTGCAAGTGCAGTCTATAGATTAATGGTACTGCTCAGACAGGGCAGTGGTGACTCTGGTCCCTCTGTTCTGTGGTGGGATAGTAAAGCTGGATCTTTCTGGGGTTTTTTTTCCTGAGTTCAGGTGCAAGGAATACTCCTTGCCTAGAGTTTTCTATTTCCTACCCATCACAAAGAGGGCAGAGACATGGAAATCTTCAGGGTGATGTTCCATGACCTCTGAGGTCATGTTAGAATCTATCAACAGCTCTCTTTGAAGATAAACTGCTGGAGCTCTTGCCAGCACTACTTAATATGTACTCATACAGTCCACTGACAAAGACCTGTCAGGGCAATAAAAATAAGAATTCTGTCTTCAGTCTTTCCAGTTTCCCCAGCATAAGTGTCATAACACCATATTCATCCTTCTCTCTTAAATAGCAGCAAAGCTGTTCAATGTGTCAGAGCTTTTGTTTCTTACTAGAGAAAGAAAATTATTGTATTGGGGTGGATTCTTTCAGTCCTTGTTACTACAGAGTTCAGATACTGCCATGGGAAGGGAATATTGCTACTGGGAATATTATTTTTCTGGCCTCTTCTGGGCTCAAAAGTAAACATGAAGCCTTTACTAGATGCATATTTTCAAGGGACATTTATGTGGTACTTTAGATCACATAGATACTGAGGTGAGAGGTGACTCTGCACAGGAGAGTGAATCCTATCTAACTCCAGCATGTTTGGATGTGAGATCTTGATTTTGCTCTTTGTAGATGCAGAAAACAGCCCCTTCACCCAGCTTTACTGACCTCCAGCTCTAAACCACCATGTGTCACATTGCCTAAAACCACAAGGCTGATCAAACACCAAGATATCAATAAGCAGAGAATTGCACCCTTGCTGCCTTCTGAGCCTCTGGAGAACATTTAAGTTATTTTGCAAACTTTTCTTCATATTCAAACAAAAGTCCATAGAAATACTTCCTTTAAACAAAAACAGCTTTTCACATAATCCTTAGATTCCTGAGCTCTGTCTAGAAAAACACATCCAAATACCACAGGAGTCTGAAGAAAAGAAAATATGAGGAGTCAGAGCCAGCAACACTAGGATTTTAAATGAGAACATGAATTTCTCCGACATGTGGGGAGAGTCAAAGAAAAGAGAAGGTGAGAACTGTGATCAGGGCAGACAAGGGCATTGCTGGAAAGGAAGATGGACAAAGAATTTGGCAGAATTCAACTCACAGTCTGCCTCAGCTGAAGAAGATAAAACTTGCCTTTTTCTTAGAGACCTGTTGTTATGGTTTTAAAACTTTTTTTTTCCCCCATCCAGCCTCCTGCCTATCTTTCTACTGCAGATTTAAAGAAATAGGAGGAAGGTGCATTGTGAGATGAAGGACTGAAAAAAATTGCAAAAAGCAGCAGTCCTTATCATTGTCTGCTCTCTTTCCCAGATCCATGAAGCAGGCTGTGAAGGAGCCGCTCTTTAGCCATCCGCAGAGACGCTCCTGCTGCAGCCCGTGCCGTGTCTGGTGCCTCGCAGGGAGCAGGGTCCTGCTGTCCCATTGCACAGGGCACACTGGGCAGCACGTCCCTCCTCAGGCTCTGTGGCATGGCAGGGAGGAAGGCTGGCAAGGGAGCCAGGGAACAGAATGCCAAGAGCAGGAAAAAGGAAGCAGGAAAACTACCAAGACAGACAGAGTGGAGGAGGCTGGATGAGAATTCAAACAGTCCCAGCCAAAATGCGAAGCTGAAGCAGAACACTATATTTAACAGAACTGCTCAGTTGAATGCTGCTGGAGAGCTCAAGTGTTGAAGGATCACAGAATTAGGGAGTAACTTTTAGGTTTAGTGCTCCTTATCCCCTCTGCGATGACCTTCACTGCTCACATCCCATTCAAATGTAGGTAGGAACTTCCCCAGATGGCATCTTTGCACCTGTCATTTCCTGGAGTGGTCATACATACCTAATAAACCTTTTCAAATATTATGTCTTGCTTAATTTAACACCATTGTCCTGATGTAAGTGCACACTATGGAACACATTTTAAAAAACTACATCAAATGTGGCTTCAATAAGCTTGGGGAGAACTGAGGGTTTAGCAGCAATCTAAGCTCACTTTTAAGGCACTGCTTGCAGAATCAAGGAGGATGGAGAAAGATCTTGAAGAAAAGTTAGGAAAGGGGAGTTATGTGGAATTCCACTACTTCTCACAGATTTCTGATTGATGATCCTTTCCAACAATTGCAAAATAAGAGAAATAATTAATATTACAACATGGACTGTTACAACTATGAATATATTCTGGTGGAGTTGCATGTAACTTCAGAAAACTACTCCATGTTACCAGCTTCAACTTTAGATTCAATAGCAAAACAATGATCAAGCCTTATTTGACACCAATATACTGATTGTCCTGGTGGAATTTATCTTGTTGAATATGCCTCTGCTTGGTCAAGTTAGATCACATATCAGACAATACTAAAAGTTTCTGACAGAGTTTTGCTGCACAAGATTGCAGCAAAAGCCATCAAAAAAAAGCAGCATGATAGGAAATACAGCAGTTTAAACAAGGGTTCAATATTTAATACTGTATTCAATTTTGTATTTTGAGAGGCTGGCAAGGATTAAGCTTGAAGGATTGAAATAATTTATTTCATAGGTCCTTATTCAATCCACACAGTAAAAACCACGGTCCATCGTGGCCTCAAAACCATGACACAGATGAATTGCTTCATTCTGTTTCCACACAAGGAATTGGATATTGTTTAATTAGGGAGAGATATTTTAAGATGCCATGAGATTGACTGGAATATTTCTGAGACCTTTCTACTTTGCTGTTAGGACCGAAACACAACTGTGAGTGTAATGAGAACAGAACCTGTTTCTTCCCTGGGGATTTGCCATCATAAAAATTAGTCCATGTTACAGAACAATGTTCTTGTAGCTATATGGCCTAACCAGAGTCCACTGAAGCTGGCATGTTTGGGGGTAGATTTGACCTGCTTAAACATCAGAACACTGGGGCATGTGCATCACCTTGTCCTGCTTGCTTTGGGGGAGCTGAGCCAGCCACAGCAGCTCAAACACAGCCTGGTCCATCCCAGGCAGCAGGGCTGAGTGCTCAGAGCACAGACATAACCAGCACTGTCAGAGACATGGTGCAACTGGAACTAACGATTATCTTCAGGACTTCATCACACTTAATGCTCTCCTGAGATGGAGTGAGGTGGCAAAAGAGATGCCCATACCTGTTTGTCCACAGAAACACCAGAGAAAATAACAGTAGCCTCTAATAAATTCCATCTTGAACTTCAGAATATGACCAGCTGTCCTCTCCTGCCAGGAGACAGAGACATGCTGAGGAGCCTGAACGCCCACTATTAATAATTGGACAAGGAAGTTGCCATGACACAATCGTTACTCCCCTTATGTCAGTTTTTACCACGGTTTCCAGAATACCAGGATCAGATTTTCCACACAGTGACATAGGTATAGACTCTTTCCATACCCTGCAGTAGCCACAACCCTACTGCTGAGCTGCAGGATACCACACTGGCTACACACACATTTCAGCATGTGTGCACACAAGAGAGAGGGTGTGCACAGAGTTTAATTCATGCTGCTTGGTTTCCATCCTGAAACACAAGGAAATGTGTTTGGGATTAATTCCTCTGTCACTTAATGGAATGCCAGACCTAATTTCTTCCTTGAACAGCAAAATGAAACAAAGCCCTCCACTTAATATTGGAAAATACAAAAGGTTTAGATTTTAAAGCTGGGCAAGGCTCCCTTATTTGCAAATTCCACTGCATAGTCAAGGATAAAGCTGTTCTGAAATACCACAGAAAACAAGAGCTTAAGATCTGCTTTATATGTGATAATCACCAAACCCCACCCAGAACAGTGGCAGTGACATCCTAAAGACTATTGGGGTGCCAAAACATGAGGGCTGTAGAAATGGCAGGATCTCATTCTTCCAGCATGTATTTCAGCTGTGAAACAGTATGCATTTTTTGGAATGGAGAAGCATTCATTTAAAGGAAAGATATAGTTACCTGAGGGTTTGTGGTAACTGAATATCAACATGGGCAAAAACTAATAGAGGGAGAAAATGTCTTTGAGCTTGTCTGACCTTCTCCCCCTCAAACAGCACCCTCAGCTCTCACCTGAACCGTGTCTTGAGCTGTTACCTGTTCCCAGAATTGAAGGGGTTATAGCACTTTACCAAGTCTCATTTTACCAAGTGAACCCTGACCCAACCCTAACCTTAACCATCCTTAGCCTGTTTCTCCTGACATGGGGAAGAGAGCTACCCCTTTGGTCCTCATGCTAAAAGGATAAAAGGAAGGAAAGCACTGCAGAGCTGTCACCACAACTCAGCCCAGCTAAGCCTAATGTGGAGCACAGCCCAAGAGGTGTCTGAGGAGAAAACTGGGATTAGCACATCCCTAACGTTCCTCTTAAGTGGAGGTGTCCAGCAGATCCCTCCCCTTGTTTCCACAGTGCAACTTGAACTGCACAGCCTCAAGGGACACTGCCTGAAGGTGGAGGTGTTTATGGACACAGAGGGAACAGCCCTCCCAGAGGAGGCAGCAGCCTCCAGCCAGTGTGGTTTTGGCACAGTGGCTCAAAAAACTGACGGGAACACCCAGAGGTGGGAGATTTCCTGGCACTTCCTACCACTGAACAGCAGACAGTACCTGAACTCCCCGGTTCTTCTATTTCTCCAGTAGAAGAGTGGAGCCCCTAAAATGCAAACCCACAGAAAGACACTCAAGCTGGAGGTGACTAGCACTTCTTACAAGAGAAGTCAGAAATCACAGACTTCCAGAGGCTGCAGGCTGTGTGCTCCACATACAGAGGGAAGACAGAAATGCAGTACCAATAATTTTCCTACTGCTTTTTTAGGAGTATCTGCACAAGTGCTAAAAAAACTGCCTTCCCTATTCCAGTTAAATAAGACTAGCATTTTCTTCCAGTAATTTCTAGTAGGGTACACATTTGGTTTCCTGTAAACTATAAATTCACAAAGACAAGCCCCACAAACCAGTGTGAGTAGAATCATCCCAAGATTTATGTGTGTGTGACATTTTCAAAAAATTCCCACAAATCATTTATATGGCAGGATGTGAGCAAGTAATCAGGAAACAGCATTTCACATCCCTGGGCTGGCACTTGAGGTGGAGCCTGGAATACAGCTGGGTGGAGAAAAGGGAATTTATACATCTTGTAAATGTAGCAGAGCTCTCCATGTATGACCAGACAGCAGTCATGGGGGAAACAAGCTTTCCCCATGGATTTGTTGGGATGTGAGCAAGAGCTGCTGCATCTGCTGAGGTTTCTCTCCAGGAACCTGCCTGGGTCTGCTCAGTTATGAGCTGTGCCAGCAAGGAAGGAGCAAGCTGGACTTCCAGCGCATCCTCAGTGTTCTCCTGCTGACATTTCTGGGCTGCATTTCTGGAGCCCCTTACTCACAGATTCTCTGGTTACTCCTCATTGCTCTCTCACAGTAACTAGTTACACACCCCTTGCAGTGTGTAAGAAAAGTGCAGCTACTGCTGGAAGCCACAAACACCTGAATGCTTCAGGATGCTCAAGTACCACCAGGAGAACTGAGATTTGAAGGGAATCCTCATAGTGGTGTCACGTTTCACAAGAGCAAGCACAGCTCCTGGGTGCTCCTCTGAACACCAGGTTGACTATGAATTCATGATTTTGTCATTTCAGGAAATTGTCATCACCTACTCAAAATCTGCAAAACTTTAAATGCATTTTTACTGGGCTCAGAGAGAATTAAACCTAATTTTGTGTCAAGAGTAACTAAAAGCTCACTATCAACCAGGTTTTACTATTGGCAGAAGGAGTCAGAAGCATAAAACCAGCCATCAGTCTGCAATGAGTCTGCTGAGAAAGGAGGAGAAAATATTCTTCCTTTTGCCAGAGTAAACCAGATTTCAAAATCAACCTAAGTAAAGAAAATCTTCAGTCACAACAGAAAAACATAGCTGAAAAGCCAACAATTAGCCCAAAGTGAAGAGGCTGTTTGTGCCTAGGGTTGCAAATTCACATTTTTAAACACAAGGGGCTTTGCATCCACCTCACAACAGCCTAATCAGTGGTGTCAAGATGGCCACAGTGGCCATGACTTAAACCCAGGATTTAAAAAAAAAACAAAAATCAACTTCTCCAAGCACAGGGACTGCCTGATCTCTTTCAAGCTAGGATGAAAAATACAGATATGTTTAAATTTGAAATACTCTTCTTGTGAGCTTTATCTTCCAGCAGCAAATTCCTATCCTCTTTCCCCAGCTGAGCCAAGATATTCCTGAATATTTTATAACTAAAAATCTTTTTCTCTTTGCCCTCCTATGTAGATTCTCACACCCTGCAGCCCAGCATGACAAGTTCTTCTCTTTGAAATATTGAGCCACTTTCAGTGGGTCTTGTCAATCCTTTACACCTATTTTAATTGAATATTTCAAAGCGGAGGGAGATCAGAGCACTCTGCCTGGGTGGGCACTGGCTGATGGTGTCAGGCTCTCTCTGCTCATCTCCAAGTGAAGTGATCAGATCCCTTGCCTCTTTGGGCCAAGGGGATGATGGATGTCACAGCCTAATGGGTGCAAAGTGGTGATGAGGGAGCTTGAAAAAGAGTAGATAAAGCATGCTAAATTTAGAAGCTGTTTGTTTTCAAGAATGGGTTTGAACTTTAACTCACACAAAAATTATGCCTCGCAATTCCACTCTTCCGTGACATCTTTGTTCCTCAGCTAGGGCCACAAAATACAATATTCCTCTATTATTAATAGCAAGGCTGTTGTTGGTTTTTTCCCTCCACCTCTCCAAGTGTGGATGCCTGGATCATAGAGGCAGATGCAGCACCCAGGTCTGCTCTAGATGCAGTGTAGCAGCTGCATCCAGCCCAAGTTCTTCCCGAAGACAATTAATGGGAAAACTGGAGGCGTGGTGTTATTCATACCAGAGTC